ACCAATAAGTGAATTTCCGGAAAGATCACACAGGTTTCTGAATTCATGACAGAGAAAGAGAATTAGTTGAATCTTGAATATTTTTGTCTGGAGAGCTCAAGTTATACATACCTTACTTGGCGTGATTAATAATCTCAAAGCTACAGTCAAGTGATAGACAACATAAGATGCATAAACACAACAAAAGGGAAGGAGGTCGTACCAAGGGACCTTGGGTTGCTGATGACGAAGTGAACAGATCATTGAGCTCCTTCTTGTGCGCCTTCTTCTCGTCCTTCTTCTACACACCTATTTTGTTCTACATGGATAGGTTATTTAAGCTAAAAAAGGAATATGACACAATACATCTGGTCACCTATTAGTACAGGTTGTGTTCAAACTTAGAAATCGGTATGTGAGTAGCACAATGTAGTACGTGTTATGATGGAAGTTTTGTTCTAGACAAAGGGCCTCCAGTATTAACTAAAATAAGTAATAAAATAAGAAAGATTGGTATTGACAGTTGGCTGATTTATTTCAGACATCTAAAGTTCTGATGCAGTTATGTGCTGAAGCAGCAGCCTAACAGCTTATGCCTTCTTCTGGAGCAGGACAACCTTCTCGACTATTTTGGGCCATGATATAGTCTGAATCTCAAGATCATTGACCTTAAGTCTTCATAAAGGTAAATAGAATAAGGGCAAAGTCATTGCTCTGAGCTAAAGTGAACAAAGATTAAGCATGAAAAACATAAGCAGAAAAGTTATCTGTCACAGTAGAACTGACGAACATTGAGTACGACAGAGCATTATTTACTGGAATAATTAATCGATGTACCAGAAGCTAATTGTCTAAGATTTTCAACTGTTTGCGGTTGTTTCTCAGAATGCATTGTGCAAAGAAAAACCAGCAATCAAGCCAAATGATCTTACTTGGAGGATGGAGACGAGAGACCTAATGGATGGATCCAAGATAGGAGCTGATTAGCGGATAGTAGAAGTGGGAGGCGTCGTTCCGAACACAGCAGGTTTGTGTGCAAGAGAAAGGAAGAGCGGCAGATGGATCGCAGGAAGCGCATACCCTGTTCGTTGCAAGCGGTGACGAGGACGGAGCCGGTGCTGTCTCCGACGAGGCACTCGGCGACGCGGGTGCGGCCGAGGTGTGTGGAGGCCTTGTCGAGGACGGTGCCGGCGGAGATGACGCGGGCGGTGAGGGTGTGGTCGTGCGTCTGGGGGCACAGCTGGTCGACGGTGGTGAAGACGGTCTTGTGCAGGGGCTTGGCGCCGTCGGCTGGTCCGGGGGCTGGGGTAGGGCGAGCAGATCGGAGGGAGGCGAGCGTGCAAGTGCCGTGGGGAGCGGACGCGGGCAAGAAGGGGCGCGTGTGCGGTACAGGTGGGTGGGTAAGCTGAGAGGCAGGTGAAAAAAAAAATACCGAGCGGAGGAAGCCTTGAGAGGCAGGAACGCGCAAACCTAAGACTTTAGCTGTAAGATTTTAGCGTGGCCCCACAACACAGCTAATTTGAACCTTTAGATGTAATTATAAGGAGTCATCCAACGATCCGGACACAGGTGGGTAGGAAACTTTCTTCCTTCTTCGCTCTTTTATGGTATAGATTAGGTAGTGTGCACGTACATGACTATGGAACAACTAAACTTTTATACTATAAATATAGGGATCGTACGATAAGATAACAATACTCAGTCTGTTCGCCTGTTGGTTTTAGTTAGAGCTTATTAGCCAGCCAACAGTGTTTTTCTCTCACAACAAACCAGCACCAGTCGGGCTTATCAGCTCAGAAACCAACCAACGAATAGGGCGACTATAAAATTAAATATGCACGTTAATCCAAAAAGCAAAGTTCGTGAAATTAACAGTCACGTACAACACGGCGTCGCAGACTCACAAAATGTATAGACCTTTCCGCAGACATGGGGGTCGTTGGTGTTCGCATTGCCTCAGTCATTACGTTGCGGGTCAGCTCATTGCTGCTGGCTGTGTCGCAAATCTCCGGCCTCCGTGGTAGCACATCAGCTAAGCGCCCGCCACCGCCAAGACTCAACCATATCTTGCTTGCCTGACGCCGCCTTCTCCGCCTCATTGCGTAGGCCACACCTCGCCTTAGCTGCGGTTGCCTGCGCAGCGTCGACACCCTAGCCTCGCAAGACGGGGTTAGGACCATGCCTTGCGAAGCGACGGCAATGCCCTGCACTTCTTGCTCTGTAGTGAGACATGGATTTTCTTCCTCAGTTATAGCCTCTTCCATGCTAGGATTCTCAGGAACTTCTTCAGATTCAATAGGACTAACATAACCAGATTCTTCACCTAGTAGGAACTTCGCTCAGTCATTTAGATAGGAAGAACAGATGTATGATAAAGAGATAAAATACACATGCTGAAGATTGTACCTGTTATGGGTCTAAGTACATCTCTTTATGCTTCAAAACTGCCAAGGCTATAATTGTATATTCAAATTCAGATTAGTGAAGTCTATCATACTGAACACACACATGCATTCTACAATGCTTATGAAATCTGATAGCACGTAAATCTGGTTGAGCTATGGCAAAATAAAGAAAATAAACTAATATTACTTGTTCATTTGTACTTCTAGCAAGCAAATTGAAGAATTTTATTGTGCCCATTTAACAGTCCATAACCGCTTAAGTTCAGTTAGCTGATATGGTCTTCCTAAAATGCATGCTTATCCATCTCCATGGACCATGGTTAATGTTAGGAAAAATTGGTTCTATAGCATTCAAATGTTGCGACCTCCATAAAATACCACTGAAAGAGTTTGATCCCGTAAAATAGCACTGAAAGTTGTCACCGTGAACTAAAAATAGCACTTCGTCAGGTTTTACACTCAGGAGCGTTAATTTGACCCAAACTCCAAAAGTTAAGTGACATTTTTGCCCTTACCTTATCCTCATACGGGAAAGTGAGAGCCGCGCCGCGCACGCCTGGTTCCGCCTGGGAGACAGCCGCACCGTGCTCGGTTCTGCATGGGAGCGCCGCCTCTGCCCGTCCGCCGACCGCCTGGGAGCTCCGAGGGCCTCCTGCGCCTGTCGCCGCGGCTTCCTCTCCGCGCGTAGGCCGCTCCCCGTGTGAAGGCCGCGCCGTCCGCTGTGGGCTGGTACTCGCGCGGAGGCCGCGCCGCCTGCGCCGTCCGCCGCGGGCCGCTTGTCGTGCGGAGGCCGCGCCGTCTTCGCCCGTCCACAGGCCGCCTGGGAGCTCCGAGGGCCTCCTGCGCCGGCCGCGGCGACTTCCTCTTCGTGCGTAGGCCGCTCCCCATGTGGAGGCCGCGTCGTCCGCCACGGGCTGCTACTCGAGCGGAGGCTACGCCGCCTACGCCGTCTGCCGTGGGCCGCTCGTCACGCGGAGGCCGCGCCGCTTCCTCCTCCTCGACTGCGTGCTGCGCCGACCGTGACTCCTCCTCCTCCAGTGCGCATGCGGTGGAACAATGCATCGATATGAGATCCCCGACGGGTAAGAATGAAACCCTAGTGTCGGGGATCAATACTAGGGTACCCGAAGGGGAGGATCTAAAATCCATCAACGCTAATTCATCAGAGCAGTCAAAAGCGTGACTACACCTCTTGGTGGGCTCCGCCTCGGCTGACTCCCGAGGGTTGGCCTAACCTCGTCCGACCCCCAAGGGTTGGCTCCGCCTCGCCCGACGTCTGGGGGCTGGCTCCGCCTCGCCCGACGTCTAAGGGCTGGCTCTACCTCACCCGATGTCTGAGGGCTGGCTCCACCTCGCCCGGCGTCTGAGGGCTGGCTTCGCTTAGCCCAATCCTTCGAACACGATTCCTAACGGAAGCTCACGCCGTCGCCAACCACCACGGGCCAGAAAGTACTACCTAAGGTCAAACTTCTGGCATCGTGCAGGGAGCGATCACGTCTCAACATGACCCGTCCCCACGACATGTCATTCCCAGGAACTCACATTGCCCACAGTGACGGACGCGTGGTCACTATGTTGCCCACTCCCTATACGGCCGCTGATCAACACGCTGGTTTGCCGCACCGCTCGCCGGGACAGAGCGGGACGTTACGACCCGCTGACAAACGCCAGGACATGGTAGTGTCAGCGGACAGGCGCCCAGCGTGGGGCTGTCCTTGTCGCCACCTGCCATGTCAGCTGGGATCGCACGGAGGAAAAGAAAGGCCGACGACCCTGAAGGATTTCCTCCACCCTCGTTCCCTTATTTTCTCCCATTTGTAATCTGTGCTTTCCCTTGGCCTATAAAAGGGAAAGCAGGGCGTCCCACTAAGGGGCATCGGTTCACTACATCGCACATCGCACCGCATCACAGCAGAACCACTAGCATCGAACCTCGAACACATAGATGAGCAGCGACTGAGCTCTCGGCACCCATTCGATCTTTCCACCAGAGACTTGGGACCTATCCCTCTCTTGCCCATTTGTAACCCCTACTATAAACTTTTCAGTGCTAATAACATGAGCAACAGCCACGAACTGGACGTAGGGACGTTCTGCCCGAACCAATATAAACCTTGTGTCTTCTTAGCACACCATCCAGGCCAGACGCGCAATAACACAAATTTACTCGTTGGTGTTTACTCAAAACATCGACACCTAGCTATCTACTTCATGGTTCGTAGTACAACTGAAATTAGTTACGAAGTTCGATTTGTGTGTGCGATTTCACGTGGTATGAGGATGGTCACCGATGAGAAAGGGCATTTGGAAGCAGTGCTAATTTTTTTGCACTGCTACTATTTCAGGATCGATCCAAACAATGCATGTCGAGTAGTAATTGATGTTTCTTCCTACTCAACTATTGAGGATGGTCGATCTATGTACAAAAAGGGCAGATGCTTGGACTGGTGGGTGGATGCAGAAGAGTACTCCATTATTGATATGGAGAATGGTGTGTTCAAGCACTTTAGTTGGGCTAGTTATCAGGAGGCAAACTTTTAGTTTGTGGGTCAGAATAATCTAACAATTCGCCTTGGTATGGACCAAGAGCTTCTAACTTTGCTGCGAGCCTAAAAAATGGTGGAGTTTATCATGACCGTAGATAGATGTGAGCATGTTGATATGGCTTTGATTGAGAATGAAAGACAAGTGACAGATGAAGAGAATGACTTACAACTTCAGGTCACAGAAAAATTCAAGGAGATGCATGTGAGTGCAAAATTGGGTGGTCTAGAATGGGCCATGGAACCTCAACTTGGTGTTACAGCTGCTGGTCCTTCTAGAGTAGAAGAGGAGGAGGAAGGTGACCAATATATGGAGCCGAGTGTTGACCATGAGAGAGATGATCCATTTGGAGTTGATGAAGAGTGGAGGTATTTTAGGAAGGTAATGGAGTAGGAAGCAATGAGAAAGTGCAGCAAGAAAAGAAAAAAATAGAGAGCAGCAAGAATGTAACTGAAGCTATAGATCCTGAGGCAGTGCCAAGTGATGAAGCCACCATGATGCAAGATGCTCCATATGTTGCACTCACTACATATGATAGAGACAACCCTGATATAAAGGAATGTTCAACATTTACTGACAAAAAGGCCTTCGTATTGATGATTAAGCAATATGCCATAAAAAGGGAGTTTTAAACATTTGTAGAGCATAGTGATAAATCAAGATATAGGGCAAGATGTGCAGATTCAGAGTGTGGATGGAAAGTTCATGCAAATAAACTTCTTGGTTGCCCCACTTTCATGGTATACTAATTGTTGTTTTCATGTTCTACCCATAATTTTTAGAATGTACAAAATGTATTATTTTTCATGTTCTCTCCATATTTAAACACTAAATTCAAATCCCATATCTTATATTATTTTCAGGTTGTGTCAATAGGTTCTAGCCATACATGTGCTAGCACCAGCCAAGTGAGGGGTAAGGAGGCTAGCAAAGCCTAGATTGATGACAGAGCAACAGAGGTACTCAAGTCTACTCCAGACCTAGGAGCAAAGAAATTGCAAGTTGAGCTTGAAAGATAGTTTCTGATCAAAATGTCATATAATAAGGTGTGGGAACGAAGGCAACTTGCACTAAAAGGCCTACATGGCACTTGGGATGAAAGTTTTAGAATGTTGTGGAGTTTCAAAGCCGAGTTAGAAGGTACATGTCCTGGAAGCATAATAGAGATTGATTGCAAGAAGAACAAAAAGGATGGTCAAGTCTATTTCTGTAGGATGTTTGTGGCCATCAAAGCATATGTGAATGGATTTCTTGCTGGTTGCAGGCCATGCCTAGGGGTTGATTCTACTCACCTCATAGGTAAATATAATGGACAACTAGCTGCAGCAACAACAATTGATGGACATAATTGGATGTACCCGGTGGCATATGGAATTTTTTACAAGGAGACAAAAGCTAATTGGACATGGTTTCTGAAGCAATTGAAGATATCAATTGGAACACCACATGGACTCACAATACACACAGATGCTTGCAAAGGCTTAGAGATAGCAGTCCATGACGTCTTCCAAGGTGACGTTGAGCATAGAGAGTGTTTTAGGCACCTCATGCAGAATTTTAGAAAGCACTTTGATGGAGATGTGCTAAAGTACATGTGGCCTTGTGCTTGGGCATGTACTCCTAGGAGGCATCACTGGCTTTGGGACAAAATTGGAGAGAATTGTCCAGCGGCAATTCCTTACTTGCAAGCAGAGCACAAACAACTTTGGTCTCGAGCTAAGTTCTCAGGGGAATGCAAGGTTGATTATGTGAATAACAACATATCAGAGTCCTTCAACAACTGGATTAAAGAGACCAAAGGGTTCCCTGTGGATGTCCTCGTGGACACAATTAGGGGTATGATCATGGAAAAGATAGCTATGAGGCAGCATATAGCTAACAAACTTGAAGGGTCCATTCTCCCTAGTGTTATAAATGAGCTAAAAATGAAGAGTAGAAACTTGAAGTACACAATTAAGGGGAGTGGTGGTCTCAAGGCTGAGGTATCTGGATTGACTAAGGACAACTATCCTTGGAGGCATGCTATGGATCTTGAAAGCAAGACATGTTCATGTGGGCAGTGGCATATTTCCGGTAAACCTTGCACACATGTTATTGCCTTTATAGGTTCCTTGAGACAAATAAAACTTGATGACTATGTGCATGACTACTACTCAGTTCATCGTTTCAAGGATACTTATCAGTTTGAGGTGAACCCAATGGTTGGCAAGTCACAGTGGCCTATTGTTGATCTCGGGTTCCAAATGTTGCCTCCAAAGCTTGAAAGGTCCGCGAGTAGGCCAAGAGTGAAAAGGCTGAAGAGTAAGGGTGAGCCAGGAAAAAGGGGTCCTTATTGATGCAAAAGATGTTTCCACTTTGGGCACATTGAGAAGGGTTGTCGTGAGCCCCCTACTGAACTTGGTGTTGAATTACCACAACCAATACCTACTAAATCTAGATAAATTAATTTTATGCTCCTATCACTTAGTACAATACCAATTCTTTCTGAGTATAATTGTTGATTACCTTGCTATTATGTAGGAAAAGGAAAGAAAAAACAAGTACTTCAAACTCCACCAAAGCTCCTAAAAAATCTAAGGAGTCTACTAAACTTGCTGCTAAATTACCACCATCACTTCCTGTCAAATCTAGGTAAGTTGCATGTTTTTGCTAATATAGTTTCTTTTTTTCCCACATGCAAAATGATTTGATTACATTGTTGTTCTGTAGTAAAAGAAAGGGAGGATGTGGTACTTCAAAATGCAAGAATGCTTCCAAAAAGTCAAAGAAGAATGCTACAGGAACCTCTACTTCTTCTGAGCCCCCTACTGAACTTGCTGTTGAACCTAGGTAAGTTGAACTTCAAGTTTCATGTTCTAGCTGAATTACCCTACATGCAAAATGACTTGATTACATTGCTATTATGTAGAAAAAGAAAGGGAGGAGGTGCTACTTCAAAGAATGGTACAGGAATAACCTCTACTTCTTTAGTCACTCAATCACATGGTACAGCTACAGCTAGCCCCTCTACTTTCTTAGCCATCCAAGCACCAGTTAGTCCAGGACCAACAACAAGAAGGATGGCAGCTTCTATTTCTACACCAACAATACCACCAGGCACACCAGTGAGTCCAGGGCCAATAACAAGATGAATGGCAACACAACTAGATACATCACCAGGAGGTATTGCTAGGAGGGTCATCATAAACTAGGCTAGTGTGATCCTGAATCATTTTATTGAACTGTTGCTATATGAAAAAGTCATGTACTGAACCTATTTTGGGCATGTGTTGTTCTGCATGTGTTGGACCAGACCAATATGGTTCCTGTACTGTGAACCTATTTGGCCATGTGCTTGCAAGATGTGTTCGTCAATATTAGTCCATGTGTTGAACCAGTTTCATGTGCTTGGTCAATATTTAGTGCATATGGTGACTTGCATGTGTTCAAATGCTGTCAGTTCATGTCCTGTACTTTATTCTTATGTTTTTAGAGCTCCTGTACCGGTTTGGGGGTATTTTGGTCTAAGTTAACAGACCTAACGCTCAAATCTAACAGAATGGTACTTTCAGTTCACGTGTGCACCTTTCAGTGGTATTTTACGGGACCGATGTCTTCCAATGGTATTTTATGGCAGTCACGATCTTTCGATGCTACAGAATCAATTTTCCCTTAATGTTATTACAATTACAGTAAAATCTCTTTCTATAAAGTAGTAAAGGATATTAGCATGGACATATCTTGTTCCAAATATCTTGTGGATCTAGCATGGACCAAGTCTGATGATAATTAGCCTTCCCCACAAGTTGAAAGAGTTTTTTCTTTGCATGGTGAAGTTGCCGGTTTTTTCCATGACACGATTAATTTCAGTGAATTCCTCAACCATATCATCAACCTATCAAATTAGTATTTTTGGAGTTCAGAACTTCTAGACAAAGCTTTGATGATACTATCACAACACATAAGTTCATTAACTTCGCAGAATTTTAGTACCTGTCGAATATAATGATCAAGGGCGATACTTTGACCAAGAACGCTTGAAATTATGCAAATCCCATCCATGTCCAAACTTTTTAAGAACTATATAATCAAGACCTCCTTTCATCCATGTTGTCAAGGATGGTTTCTCAACCACTGCATAATCTGTTCATGCAAAATAGATGGCACTGCATCTTTACAAAGAGTCAAACAGCGAAATTCCAAGGGGCATATGCCAAAGCATCACAGTGACCAAAAAGCAGTGGCAACTTATTTCTGCTAAACAAAAATGCACACAACGCACAGCCTAGGCATGCGATGATTCTCTTTAAGTTGAGTTCTATCACAGTTACCAAATAGGATCTTGAATATAAAAGAAGGCAATTATACTGTTTTCTGTCCATGCAAATGTTATCAAGGAACACAAAAATGGAGGCAAGTAAAAAGCAGTAAACAGACATAGTTTAGCAGTGAGCAAACTGGGCATACCATCTTTTCTCGTCTCTGGAAGCCATCCTAAAGCATGCTTCCTAATTATATCAAGACAGTACTCAGCTTCATGATCAGCAATGCTGAAAAGCACAGCAGAACCATAATGGAAAATAATCTCAGGTGGGAACTCGGAGTACCGAAGCGCAATGTAGTTAAGCGAACAGGTCGGTGGAGGTACAATATCATTCCCGTGCTCCGCTTGCATGCTCTTTAGATCAATGCTGCCATGGCGAGGAGAAAAAAATTGAAAACACATCATTTTAGTTCGCAGCGCCAATTAGGCATTGACATCTCTTCAGAATAGAACGATAGCACTGAATGTTTCCTCGCTGATAAATCATCAAACACCTATCGAGCAAGCGCTGGAGCGGCGCTGCGTGCTTACCTGGTGGAGAGGAAGTAGGCCTTGACGGGGATGTAGAGTGCTGGGCCCTCGTCCTCCTCCTCCTGTGGCGGCGCGGGAGCCGGGGCCGACTCGGTCCCCGCGCGAATCCAAGCCCAGTACGCTGAGCCGCCGAGGCCCGAGTCGCGTCCGTCGTGGGGCACGATGGCCACGGCCGCCGAGGCCGACGAGAAAAGCCTCGAGAAAGGCGATACGTGAGTGGCCGCGGTGTTGGACCCCGCTGATCTAGCACCAAAGGACGGGGCGCAGCTGACGATGGGGATGGGGAGGGGGCGCCATCGGATCAACAGGGCGATGGGGAGGGGGTGCCACCGAATCCCAGGGCGATGGGGAGGGGGAGCTGCTGGATCCCAGTTTGAGGAGGGAGCACCGCCGGATCTACAAGGCGTTGGGGAGGCCCCGAGATGGCCGATTCCCATGGTGGCGGTGGACCCTCCCACCGTCGGCGGCGGCGGCTCCATGGCACTGGGATCGAACCGTGGCTGCGCCCGCGTGGGGGTGAGGGAGGAGGACCGTCGGGGACCGCTCTCGCCGGCGCGCCGCCCGCGGGGGTGCCGTAGCCATGGGGGCGTGAATCAATTCCTTCCATTCTCCTGGTGGCGTTCAATGGCTCAGTTTACATCTATTGCACGGTGGCATACGATGAGGTGTGATCGCCTTGGTCCCGCACGGAGTGGCATTTTCATGGAAAGGGTGGGAAGCGCCGGGCGGGATCGCACGCTTCGGCCCGTCGGGTACTTCAGGACGATGGACCACGTTGAAACGTCGCATCAAAAAGTGTTTACGTTTTGTTCTTTTTAGTTATAGGAGATATGTCATACGATCTACACCCCGTTCGTTTGGGCTTGTTTGACTGATAAGCCATGGCTGAAAGTATTGTTGGCTGGTTTGGTGTGAGAAAAAAATACTATTCGTTGACTGATAAGCGATGACTTATAAACCAAATACGACCAAACGAACAGGCCGCTAGTAGTGAGTCTGAGTCTGACAATCTATACATCCCATTACAACCACTATGTATACCTATATATACTTTGTGAAGCTTAAAACCAAAAACAGACCCTATAAGCTTAAAACAAGTTGCGAGTAAAATAATTGGCCCAAACTACTTGAATTCATCACTTTACTTTAATTGAGTATTTTCTTATATAGAATTAAAATCCATAACAACTCACAGTTATACCATCTATATTTTTTTCTAATATTAAAGTACGAATCGTTTCCATGATCCTCTTTACCAATCCCGTACGAGTTCAAGAAGTGTGACCGAAATAAAATTTTAAGATCAATTAAGAAATAAGACATAATAATTAATCTCAAATCGTCTGGTGTCTAATGTATCAATAAATTTTCGAGCCACAAGTCATCCAGTTATATAGATTCTAAATTCCGTTGCAACGCATGAGCATTTATACTAGTAGATAAAAAAAAAGCAGCCGCCAAGCCCATCCAGCCGGCCGCAACGAAGAAAGTCTGCTGTAAGCCCAACTTGGACAGTTCGCAAAAGGAGCAGTTCTGGTTGGCCCATTCCACGCAGGCCCGCAACAGCTCATGACGGATGCCCATGAGCAGACCCCAACCCGGCCGGCCGGCCCATTCCACGCAGGGTCCCAACATCTCCGTTGTTGAAGCCCATGAGTAGACCCCACCCAACTCGTGGTCAGCGGCTCGGCCACGGCGCCGCCGGCCGCCGTCGACCTCCACTTCTCCCCCTACTTCGTCGCTGGCTACATCTGGCTACATCTGTCGCTGGCTACATCAGTTCAAGGAGATTGTCGAGGAGTACAAGGAGGAGATTCTCGTGCAGGAGGAGGTCCCGGAGCCACCATTGACTGACTCAGCTGACACCGTGCCTGTCCAAGGCAAGCCCCGGTGCATAACCCCTTATTTTTGGATAATCACTGTTTATATATGTTATGTGCATTTATGTTACATGAATTTTATGGAAATCACATGCATAGATATACCTGTCCTAAGAGTCTTATTAGTGCAGGTTCGAGTAGCTGCTATGCTTAGGTTTCGGTAGCATGAGTAACTTGCCGTTACTCACAATAGGTGATTATTATTACTCTCATAATAAAATGATGAAAGAAAAAATAGAGACATAGCAGGGATATGGTATGGGTATTGATGGGTGTAACAGGTTGTGTCCCGCAGCCAGCGGGGCTTCGTTTAGTTACACTGTTTTCCCTATTCGTGTCGATTAAGGAACGTCCGTTGCTGTGGATGGTAGTCAGGTCATAGACTTATTATCCTGAGCACATACTTGCTTATGGGAGCGGAAGGCTCGTTATACTCTTGTTGTTGGTTCTAGCTCTTTCTAAACCGACTGATTGGAGGCGAGGGAAAGGTGGAGATCTAAGCACCATGCTGAGACCGGATCTCAAATGTCGGGGCTTGAAGTCCAAATTTGGATGGGGACCTGGACCCCTCGACAGGAATGAAATGGGTTGGCCTTGTTTGTGCCTGGGGTACAAACGGGACGTGTGTTTCGGGGATACCCAGCTGGGATACATTGGTTCACGAATCGCCGTTTTCGTGAGACGGTAGACTTGGCTATGGTCTAGCACCGTAGTAGGAACTGAAAGATGAAAGATGATGAAATAGTTCTGATTGCTCAACCTTTGCACGAAAGTAGAACAGATGATTACCTAGAATGGTTAGCTAATGAAGTAATCATGACTGCTAATAAAACTTGACTATAAGGATGAACTATTAGTAATGCTTTTCGTAAACAAAAAAAAACAACAAACCCATATTGTCTATCATATCCTTGAGAGTCAGGAAACTATTCCCACTCGTCGGGTAGGTCTTGCGAGTATATTGTGTACTTAGGAAATTATTTACCCCTGTTGCAGGTGTAGTTTGAGGAATAGCTCTTGTGTGGAGGATTCTTCTGGTGGGTACAGACGGATCCTTGTATCGTTTTCGCGTCTCTGTTGAGTGATGAACAATATAATCTATGGTCTATCTATCCCCTGATTAGTTGACTGTGCCGTGTGGTACATCTGTCGAGTGCGTCGTGTGAACTGCACGGACGATCTTGCGCTAGACAACGATAATGCTCTTGTGAGCAGTGGGCGCGGCGCAGGCGCGGCGGGTGCATGCGGGCAGGGCGTGGCACGGCGGGACTGGGCCGCGGGCCTCTAGCCGGCTCTGCCGCGCCACTGATCAGGGCGCGTCAGTGCCGCGCCAAGATCGGTGGCGCGGCAGACCCTGCCATGTCATCGGTAAGCGTCCCGATCGTCGTCACGTCATCCCTCTCACCGCGCCACCATGCATTGTTAGTTTTGAAAAAAAAGTGTTGGATTTAAAATTAGTTTACAAAAAGTGTTAAAAATAAAAAAAAATCACCCGCGTCGACCTCCACTTCTCCCCCTACTTCGTCGCTGGCTAACCTAGGACGTCCGTCAGTTGACTAAAATCCTCGCCTTGGTCGTGCGTCGACGTGCGCGATTAGTCAACGCCGGCAGCCCTGCTGTTAATTGGGCGCGAACCGCCACCTGATTCCTACTGATTGCACATTGTAAACAAAGCTTGACTATCCTTTTCATCTCTGCAAAGGTTGCTGAATTTGAAATGGCGTACGCCGGACGAGTCCAAAGGCCAACTCAGATCTCTATTACTAGTCCTCTGATTGTCTGGTTACAAAGAAATTCTACCACCGGACCGGAGTACCATTCCAAAGATCTGATGGAGATGGACACAAACCGGGGACTAGTACGACCTGATTCCTACTGATTCCTACTGATTGCACATTCTACTTTAATATACAAAGGTTGACTATCCTTCTCATCTCTGCAAAGGTTGCTGAATTTGAAATGGCGTACGCCGGACGAGTCCAAAGGCCAACTCAGATCTCTATTACTAGTCCTCTGATTGTCCGATTACAAAGAAATTCTACCACCGGACCGGAGTACCATTCCAAAGATCTGATGGAGATGGAGACAAACCGGGGACAAATTTGTGAACCTTGCATTCAGGGTTCAGTGCAATTTATCCGCTTCTCACTGGAAAGGTTTTTTCCCCTTCTTTCCATTTGATCTTTGTTTAATTTGGTGCTTCTTTTGGTAGAGAGAGATGGGACAATGGCTAAATAAATTTTCTTACAGTTACAGCCATCTCGCAGTCCCAACCACCAGCAAGATTACCGCAGCTGTCTATAGGTCCTTTGCTGAAGTTGCCCATGACGATCATCGATCATTTTACTGTTCTGTTGTTTGTGAATGGATGCTGTTACTACTTCATGGCTTTGTGTATTGACCGAATTTATTTTTCATCTGTGTGGATCACTATCGGCCGTACTTGCATTTGCATAAATGTGTTTTTTTTTTTCTTGTGCGACCTCAACTAATTATGTCAACCAAGTGGACTAGTCCGATTAGTTGTTGTCATTGACATGCTGATGCAGTAAGTTGACATGGTTTTCTACCAAATTTTGTAAACATCTTTAGTTTTGATCAGTGATTAATCTAGCTAGTAGCACAATTTGTGTCACAAATATAGGATCTTTATACAGACTAGTGTGCATTTCTGTACCATGTTAAGGCAGATTAGTAATTTAGAGATAGGGTACACAACCTTTTGCGTGATGGAGAGAAAAAAAAAGATAGGGTACAACAGGGGCTAGAGCTCTCTCGCACCCCCCCTTCTTCGTAAATGTCTTGAGAACTACGATCGATCCACTCAAGCTTTTTCAGCCACCTTGTATACTTTACAATCAAAACCAATCTTGCAAACATGCCGGCCACACACTGAATCCCTGACCTGGTTTTTGCAAATTGCTATAATGAAAAAACGACTTGGTTATCAATTCAGAGGAGCAATCTGAAACAGTCGAGTAATTGGGAAATTTGCTTGTAAACATTTGACACCATCTAATTTGTACCATTGCCTGCTTGCACCTAGACGACTTGGAGAAGCAAGGATCGTCGAGCGGAGGTTAGTGATTGTCTCCGGCTCCGATCGTGATGATTGTGATGGGTTCTTGACCTTTCCCCAGCGGAGAGCCAAAAGGTACTCTAGTAAATTGCTCGTGGCTTGTGTGATCCTCATCTTGTGTTAGTTGTGCGGCACCCTATTGAGGGTTTGGCGTGTGATGCCAATTAGCGCGTGAACCTTCAAGTGAGTGAATCGCCACAACGAGGACTAGCTTGCGGACAAGCAAGTGAATCTCGGTAAAAATCATTGTGTCATCATTTGATTCCAAGGTGATAGGTCTTTATTGGTATTCATTCTTGTGATTGATTGGTTCATTCCTCGACTCAGCGGTATAACCATCTTGCTCTCTCTCTCTTTACATTACTACAAACTAGTTGTCAAGCTCTTTAGTATAGCTAGTCGTGAGAGCTTGTTTGTTTAGTTAGTGTGGCTCTTTAGTTAGCCTTTGAGAGCACACTAACTTAGTATAGTGACATAGCCATTGTGTGGATAGAGACTATAGAAACTAGAATAGTGATAG